AATGAAATAAAAGCAGAATATAAACATTCTTTCTCCGTTTCCTGAACTACACAGCACAGCTAGAGCATACGTCACAACGAGCACATTTCTCCGAACTACACTACCCATAATGCATTTCATTCAGGATTACATCAACCATAGATAGTGATCTTAAGGGATAACTCTTAACTCAAAAATCCCTTCTTTCCGCAACACTTTCATTGATATGACTGCGATAAGCGCGTGCTTCTGACGCTGCGTGCAGCTGAAATCAACCACACACTCATCACAATGAAAAGATCAACCTTAGAATAACGAACATGAACACTGGGATAATCGTCGATGAATATGGTGAACCCCCGTTGAAATGCATACACAAGAATGCTTATTTAATTTACCCTGTTTCATGTCCGTTACTATCGGCGTGTCCTCAGAGCGATTACATATGCTCTAAACTGCGTTTTGCTCATTCCAGAACTCTGTGTGTGTGTGTATATACTGTATATATATACTATATACACGTTTTACAAGAAAATACTATTTCAGTCTTTCCATGTGTTGCTTGCCATTTCTAATTAATTGTTAAATTTATTAGCAGTTTGTAAATGAAAATTATTTATATATGAATTATTTTTCGATGTATTTAAAATATTTTTTTAATAAATTCATCTGAAAAATCAGTGTTTTTACCCAGTCCTAATGATCTGAGAGTAGCTTCATTAAATGCCATTAGTATTCAAGAATTTTATTTCAGAAACCATCATTGTTGTATTTGTTCTGCATTCTGTTATGAGAGACTATGACCTTTGAGTTCTCACAGCCGATCTTGATCCGCGGCACTCCTCTGCTAACAGGTTTAGTGCCGCTGGCGTTGTCATCTCTACAGCAGCGGATATTGTGCGCTAAAGCGCCGCTAAAGTCCCCGCGTACGGGTCCCATCAGCGGCACAAACGCCCGCTGTTCTCTGTAATGTAATTTAGCCACGACTCTATCACACATAATTAGCATTTAGACAATAGCAGACACTTGGCATTTAATTACGGCTGGCCTTTGAGCGTAGCATGAACACCATGAGCTTTACTTCAAACCAGCAGCAGAAGAAGAGTTTTCAGAGCAGAACACATCCGATGGGATGAGATACGATTGATGAAGCACTGCGCGGCCAGAGATCGAGTAAAGGTCACGCTACTCAGCGGCCGCGGGATTACATGATATCATGACACGACTGGTACAGCCACTGATCACGCGTAAGTGTGTGTGTGTGTGTGAGTGAGTCAGTCTTTGTGTGTGTGTGAGTTAGGGCTGGACGATATGGCCAAAATTGATATCACGATATATTTCTTAATTTCGGTCGATACGATATAATTCCGATATCGATATGAACACTATTTATCTGAAATAGAAATCTTTTGTAACATTATAAATGCCTTTATCATCACTTTTGATCAATTTTAAGCATCCTTGCTAAAGAGTGTGTGTGTGTGTGTGTGTGTGTGTGTGTGTGTGAGTGAGTGAGTGTGTGTGTGAGAGAGAGAGAGTGTGTGTGAGAGTGTGTGTGAGAGTGTGTGTGTGTGTGTGTGTGTGTGTGTGAGTGTGAGATGTATTTTAGCTTTTTGCTCAGACTTTGCTCTTTCACAACTGTTTCTAGACACGTATGTTTCATTTAAGTATTAACTACAATAAGACTGTACAGTAAATACAGTAAGACTATACCGTGTGAAAAAGTGTGAAAATAGAAATGTGCACTTGTAGTGTACTTCAAAACTTAAAAGTATTTTTTTTTTAAACTGTACAAAATATATAATATATTATTAAGGAAATAAAAGGCCACTTAAGTGACTTAAATAGAGACACTTTCATGGCTGTTTCTAAACACAATTAAGTACACTTTTAAAGTGACCTTTGTAATAATGTCAAATTAAAAGTTTTACTTTAAAGTTCATTTTAAATCATTATGTTTTAATAATCTTTTATGGTGTTTTAAAGAAGTACACTTATTTTGATGTGCTGACTAACATACTAAAGCGCATGAAAATAACTTAATTATCATTTTAACGGTAGTGTGTTATTCAATATTACATTTAAAGTTAATATATTTTAGATAAACTGAATTGCAGCATCATCATTACTAATATATTTAAATACATGACAGACACGTTTCAACAGAAACAACATTAAAATATATTTTAGTTTATCATAAATACTCGACAGTACATTCAGCAGTGCTTTAACCACATTTCAGAGACAATAGAACTATGAAATTACATGTAAAGATGTGCTCAAGTCCTACTTAAATGGGTCAAAAACACTCTTAAGTTCAGCTAATTGCTTTTCATATAAGTTAAACTATAATACATTTTAATGTAATTGCAATTAAAGTCTGATTAAGTGTCTTAAAATATTACATTCAGTTCACACTTAAGTGTGTTCTTTTAAAGTTCATTAGTTCATGCTCAAGTGTATTTTTTCACAAGGATAGAGCAGGGAAATGAATGTAGATCAGAGCTCAGATCATTCGATGAGAAATGGTTTATGCGTCTCTCAGTCACTGTTAATCGGTCAGTCAGACACTGGTGGCCATACGGTGACCTCTGACCTCTGGATGCTGTTCTCTTTTACACAGACATTGTCAGATGTTTTCTCACTGTGGAAGAAACAAGACAGTGTGTGTGTGTGTGTGTGTGTGTGTGTGTGTGTGTGTGATTTGTGTTCCAGTAGTCAGTGTGTTTCTAATCTCCTCCATGTGAAACATTTCTGTTAAAGACATTTTAATAGACGGCATTGCGTCGTTTCAAGCTTATGCTGGACTGTTTGTGGTTATTACAGATGTTTAATATATCTGTAAGTGTTTCGTTCTGAGGTCAGAGCAACACCAGAATCATTGTTCTGATTCATTTGAATCAGATGACAGATGCACAGATGCCTGGATGGACAGTTTAACAGCTTAAAATGTAATGCATTTAATTTTGCATGTGTTCAGTTGTAGAAATATCAACCTTAGCATGGAAAAAAAAAGGAAATAAAAGCTACAATGCATAACAAATGATAATCTATTATTAAAATGTGTGTATTTGCTAACAGAATGAGGAGATGTTGGAACGACAGAGCTGTAATGTTTACCCCAGTCTCAGTATGAACACACTCAACGCCTGCAGCTGATATTGATTATTTGCATAAATGTTAATGAGCAACACAAGCGGCAGAACGGCGTGAAGAATGACCCCGAGCTTCATAAGAGACGTTCACTAAAGACTTTCCCTCGTGCTTTGGCGTGTGAATGAGTTGATGTGATTTTCAGTCGAGTCCGTCTCTCTCTCTGGATCAATGTCAGACAGATGAGTAACAAGAGGAGAAAAAAACACGGCCATTTTCTCGTTTATTTACAAATCGCCTGCCAACGTGGGCGACATGCGATATTACTTATCTGTCAGATTTCTAGAGAGAGCGTTTGCTCCGCGTGCGAGTGTGATGGAAATTCACATTCAACAAAGAACCGGCTCATCGAGAGCAGATACAAAACACACATAATGGATGTGTCTGTCTCTCCGTCTGTCTCGCTCTCCCAACAAAAGCTGCGGATGAAAGCGGCGCCGAACACGAGACGGGAGCAGCTGATATCTGAACTATTAATTAATCACACAAATATTACACAGACTGGCATCTCGCATTGATGAATGCGTGCGTTTGCAGTCGAAATGAGCTCATAAAGGCCTGGCCCGAGCCAGCGATGCTATCGTGAACGGAAATAGCAAGCGTGGCCGTGCGTGTGACAGCGGCCAGCGGGCGACGAGAGCGAGCCAACTCTGACTTCCGCGCGTGAGCAGAAGTCCGGCCTGCGTCGCCTGTGTTTGTACCATAGTAATGGAGAGGTTTCACTGCTGAACGCTCTGTGAAGACATGCTTCTGCAAACTGTGCTTTTAAATGAGTGTGCTTCACTTGAATTGAATCTGATCACAAACAATAAAAGACATCATCTGATTGTTAAAGAGATGTGTTTAGCGAGTAAGCTCATTTGAATGGGGAGTTTGTGTGTGTGTGTGTGTGTGTGTGTTTAATGTAGTGCTCAGCACTTATTGATTGCCAAGACAAAAGCTTATTAAGGCAAAACACTACAAATGAACAGGGTAAAACAATTGTAACTAATAGATTTCAGCATACTTCCCCAGTTGATTTAATCACAGTACATTACGACATTTTCTGAAATTGTACATTTAAATATGCAAATTATGCTTATATGCACCAATTTGCATAAAGTTTTCTGAACATTGGATAAAGTCAGGTTCAATATTCTTGTTTGATTTTGCTGACATATTAAAGGTTTTTACATTGTATTTCTCTTTTCATCGCTCCATAAATCAGAAGATACTGGAAAAATACACATTTTCTCCATGTTTTTAGGAACATCGTCTCTTCTCAGGTGTTCTGGATCCAGACTGAAGCTTGTGTATAAAATGTTGTATAAATCAGTGTGAATGATATATATGAACAAACTAGAGGTCGACCGATGTATCGGTTTTGCCGATTAATCGGCACCGATAGTTGATTGCTGGAACTATCGGTTATCGACAAAAATCCATGCCGATAGTTTTCCGGGTTGCGTCCATGTCCAACCTAGCTATCGGTATCGGCAAAATCCACTATCGGTCGACCTCTAGAACAAACCCCTCAGTAAAAACCTTCAGAATATAGACAGGAATAAAGCTCTAAGTTTTGGTGTGTGTAAGTGCTGCTGAAGTGGAGAAAAAACTTGTTAAAGATATGGATAGGAATTGCAATCTACAGATGCCAATAGATAAAGTGCAATGAAATAAACACTTCAATGTTTTGTTTTCTTTCCACTAGTCTGAAATAAGACATTTAATGGAGCAAAATAGACTTTAAAACTTACCAGTGCATAAAAAAAAAACAATGGTTTTGCCTGTTGCTTTAAATTCCAAAATAGTGTGTTCATGAATATTTGACTTCTCTTTTCTGTGTTCTGATGGATTGATTGCTCTGGTGTGTGTGTCTCTCTCTGCAGGTTGTGAGAGCGTTGCAGGAGCGTTGTGAGCTGGCACACTCCGCGGGTGAGTCGTAACATCATGCCCGCGCCAAGCATCTGTGTAGCGTTACCCTCCATCCGACACTGTCTCCTGCTGCTCACCGCCTCGGTCCTGCTCTCCAGCGCCGAGTGTAAGTCTCACCTCTCATCTGCTGCTCTCTGCTCGTATGTACTGTTTACTACGGGGCCGGGTCAGATGTGCTGTGTGTTTGATAGTTTGAGCCGAACACAGCTGATCGGGACGCCAAATCTCCTGGTGTCCTGATGTCTCTGTTCCTGTCAAACCTCAAAGTTTTACAGTGAAGCTGCAAACGTAGAAATGGAAAAGATACTGAAAATCCCAAACCAAAACTAAACAAGATGTGAGATACAGGACTAACACAAGCACACCGCAAAACAGCTGCAGCTCCACACACACACACACACACACCATGAACCATGTCTGAAAAAGATTTCAAATAAAGAATACATTAGAAGACTCGTCAATAGCTATTTATGTTTATTATTATTTATCAATTTCAGGAGAGGGGAGACGTGATGATACTCAGACCAACAACTTAACCCTGCCTCAAGCGTGATGTTTAACAAACGCAAACTATAATAGAACTAGCTCAGGTCACCTATGTGAAAAAGAAGTGCACTTGAGCTTACTTTTAAAAAGAGTACGGATATAAACAATTAAATAAAATAATATACTTAAGTGTGAACTGAATGTAATGTTTTTAGATTGCATGTTAATAGCAATTAAAGGAACACGTTCTATAGTTTGAATTTATATGAAATGCAATTATCTGAACTTTAGAGTGTTTTTGACCCACTTAAGTTGGACTTAAGTACATCTTTGTATAGATAATTTCATAATTACTTACATTGTCTTTGAAGTACTGCTGAATTTATGTTCAACTAAAATAATGACAGTATATTAAAACTCGTATACCACGTGTTTAACAATATTTGTGTAATGATGATGTGATTTAGTGCATTTAAAATCGATTAACTTTAAATGTAATACTGAATAACACACTAGAGTTAAAATGATAATTAAGTTCTTTACATGTGCTTTAGTATGTTAGTCAGCACATCAAAATAAATGTACTTCTTTAAAACGCCATACAAGATTATTAAAACATAATGACTTAAAATTAACTTTAAAGTAAATCTTTTAATTTGACATTATTGCAAAGTTCACTTTTTAAAAGTGCACTTAAGTGTGTTTAGAAACATAGTGATGGAAGTGTCTCTCTGTAAGAAGTGGCCTTTTATTGCATTAATATTATATGATCTACAAGTACAGTTTTTAAATATTCTTTTAAGGTTTGTAGTACACTACAAGCGCACATTCAGGACAGTTAAGTGCAGAGAGGATGTTAAACGCAATCAAACACGTGACGTGTCACATGATCAGTCACGTGGCGTGTTGTTTGTTTTTCGTCATTGTTCTGCTGTGGTGATTTTGAGGTTTCATTTATTTGGTGTGTTATGAAGATGATTGTTAGATCAATATTTGCATATGGCTGCCAGACAGGTTGTTATTTGCATTTTGTGCAGGCTCTATCAAATCCACATGTGACTAATTTGCATGAATGGTAATTTAATTGAAATGGCGAGCCGTCCATCACCGTTCAGCGTGTGATATCTGTGAGTTTATATGTGTTCAGGATCTGTATGTGGTCACATGATGGTGATGGTGTTTAATTTTAGCACTCTGTAAGTTTTGCTGTGGTAGTAGAATATTGTCAGCTCGTTTGCAGCTTCAGGCTTTAATTAGTGTTGCGCTGTTCCGGAGCGGAAAATGACAGGAATAATCAGGAACCATCATAGAGAGAGAGAGAGAGACTCTAGAGCTTCCCAAACCTACGGATCGACCCACGGAGACGATGGGAAAAAGAGCCGCCCAATATGGAGGATAAAGTTCAATCAAATTAAATGTTCTGTTTCACCCAAAAATGCTGTGCTAAATTCAGGATCACGCTGCTGTGCGTTTAGAGCGATCTGAAGCGTTCAAGGTTCCTGTTCAGTGAGTGTAGGCGTCAGCTGAGGGTGTGAGTCTGTCTGCTGTACAATTACAGTCAAACGCATGTGAGAATAATAAAAACACAAACATATCTGTGTCTGAGAGACACTTTCATAAACGCCACCATTTTGAGATCATTTCAGTCTGATCAACCACAGCTAAAAGACAGTTAAGTGCAGAGAGGATGTTAAACGCAATCAAACACGTGACGTGTCACATGATCAGTCACGTGGCGTGTTGTTTGTTTTTCGTCATTGTTCTGCTGTGGTGATTTTGAGGTTTCATTTATTTGGTGTGTTATGAAGATGATTGTTAGATCAATATTTGCATATGGCTGCCAGACAGGTTGTTATTTGCATTTTGTGCAGGCTCTATCAAATCCACATGTGACTAATTTGCATGAATGGTAATTTAATTGAAATGGCGAGCCGTCCATCACCGTTCAGCGTGTGATATCTGTGAGTTTATATGTGTTCAGGATCTGTATGTGGTCACATGATGGTGATGGTGTTTAATTTTAGCACTCTGTAAGTTTTGCTGTGGTAGTAGAATATTGTCAGCTCGTTTGCAGCTTCAGGCTTTAATTAGTGTTGCGCTGTTCCGGAGCGGAAAATGACAGGAATAATCAGGAACCATCATAGAGAGAGAGAGAGAGACTCTAGAGCTTCCCAAACCTACGGATCGACCCACGGAGACGATGGGAAAAAGAGCCGCCCAATATGGAGGATAAAGTTCAATCAAATTAAATGTTCTGTTTCACCCAAAAATGCTGTGCTAAATTCAGGATCACGCTGCTGTGCGTTTAGAGCGATCTGAAGCGTTCAAGGTTCCTGTTCAGTGAGTGTAGGCGTCAGCTGAGGGTGTGAGTCTGTCTGCTGTACAATTACAGTCAAACACATGTGAGAATAATAAAAACACAAACATATCTGTGTCTGAGAGACACCATTTTGAGATCATTTCAGTCTGATCAACCACAGCTAAAAGTCTGAAATTACCAAAATTATCCACCAACAATTGATCATAAATCATTAAACTACCAATTACCGATTTCCTAGTTCATATTTCACTCATTGTCATTCTTCAGTAAGTAAAAACGGTTCAAAAAGATGTCAGCTATTGTTGTACGCAAATCAGAAAGAGGTTTCAGTGCAGTTCTCTCTTTCTGACGTCAAGCAGGATTTCATATCGTAGCCTGTGAAAGTGAGGACAGGCGTCTCTGCAAGCACTCTTGAGGATGAGTGTATGCACTTTTTATAGCTTTTTATAACAACATGGAATTTAAAAAAAGGCATTGTCAGGTTCAGATGACTTTTATGGAGGATGTCTTGACATTTCAGGCTGAAGTAGAAAAAGCTGAAGTCAAGTTCATGTGAATCGATTCTAAAATAAAAAGCTAAAATGACACTGTAAACCTTGGACTAGCATAAATGTTCAGTTTTTGTTGTGGTTATGAACAAACCACAGCACAACCACACATTTTTTTTTGTTGTTGCAGTAATTATTAAATATCATCTGAGCTAACATCTAGTTAGCAGAACAGCCTTCAGTGTGCTGTCAGAAACATAATGATTCACTTCAGGATCAAAATAAACACTGATTATGGTCTAAAAAAAAAAAAACATATCAAATGTGCATTTATTTTAAATCTTCATATCTGTGATAGGTTTAGTTGCCAACTGTCATTATTTTAATTCTTAAATATGTATTAATTATAATTAAATAAGAATATTAAATAAACAATATTAAATAAATAATAATAATAATAATAATTTTCACGACCCCTATTTCTGCTTTTTCTCTTTCTTTAAAACTTTAGATGCAATCTTTTTGTTCACAGTCACGCTAATGATCTCTAAAAGCTTGTGTCTGAATGACTGACTGTTTTCTGATTGTAGTGAGATATAAAAATACTTATAAGTGGAAAAGTGGAAACAGCTCTTTAGGAAATAGACGGCTGACATTATAGAGAGCGAGAGAGACAGACGGACAGACAGTCAGAGGGCAGTGTTCGCACTCGCACTCGTGTTTGTCATGCCCACAAGCTTTGCACAGCGGCAGCTGTTTAGCGTCTGCTGTTTCACACACACACACACACACACACACACACACACATACGATCCTTCTTAAAGTGTGAGTGTGTTCAGTGCGGCCGTCCCATTGATGACTTTGCAGTTAATGAAATTGAACGGCTTTTGTCCCATTGCATTATGGGATTGTTCCACACACAGACACACAGAAGAGCAGAAGCAGTTTTTCCTCATCGACACGGCTCTTTTTAACGGGTCTGTCAGACGTGAAGTAAGACGGCATTGGACAATTCTCAAGGGGGCGTCACCCAAATCTAGTAATCATCACCTGCATGCAAATTAAATGCTAGATTATGAATATTCATGATGCATATGAGTGCAGCTAATTAGTGTAGAACAGAGAGTGCAAATCAACAACACTTGTAAGAACACACACACATCACTCGTTGCATATTGTCTTAATACTGTATTTTAAATATTTGCATAGAAAGAATAAGTGCGATATTTTGCATGTAAATGAGCTGAAATGAAAGTAGAAAGTAGAAAATTCCTGTCATTTATTCGCCCTTCTGAACCTTTCTTTCTTCTGTGGAACAAAAGGAAATATTATAAATAATGTACCAGTCACTCTTTTCTTTTTACTTGCAATGGATTTGAACTGAAAGTCTTAAAAAAAAATAGACCCGAAAGCACCATTGCTCCATCAATCATCATTCCCTCATACACTCCCAAAGACAGTGGAAATACAGATTTTCAGTAAATAACAGATCAAATTTCTACCCTTTCCTCATGCTGTTTTAGAATGGATTATGGAATGCAGTCTTATGAAGTCGTATGGAACACTGTTATAATAGATTTAAATTATTTGTATCCAGTTGCCATTCACTGAATGGAAAAGAGTGGCCGGTACATTCTTCAGAACATCTCAATTTGAGTTCCACTGAAGAAAGTCAGTCATACATGTTTCTAAAGACGTGAGGGAAAGAAAATTGTGTTTTTGGGTGAGCTAAATCAGACACTGTTCGTTTAGCGGTGCTATTTTAAGGGACTCGTACATTCAACAAACAACAAACCTCTCACCAAAAATAAA